AAAATTACTCTACTTGCCACTATGAAGGAAGTAGATTAGAATGTGCTCTTAAAATGATACGGTAACCAAACCCCCAGGGTTGCAAACTATAAAAATATATTGGTGTCAGTACTGCTCTCTTAGGCTCAAAAGCAAAAGTAAAATAATGCATATTCTTGAAATCTGAAATAAAAACAAACGGCTGGAGAAACTCAGCATGGAGTTTCTATGGCAGCATCTATGGAGAGAAAAGCAGTTCATGTTTTGAGTCCTGTATGAATTTTATATCAATATTATGTCAATATATCCCTATATTCCAAGGACTGAAGCAGTTCGAGAAGATGGCTCATTGCTATCTTCTCAACGGAAATCTAGGATGGGCAATAATGTTAGCCTAGCCAGTCATATCCAAATGCTAGGAAAAATGTACACTGTATTGGATAGAGTCTTGTGCGCTTTTTGTGTGGTTAGTTTGGTGGCGGAGCAATTGCGTGCAATGGTACAGTATGGTGAACCTGCCGCCTTCCCATCTCCACCTATAGTAGAAAGGCCTCTCTGACTCTCCCCCAACAATAAACTGAGATGCTTAAGTGGACAATTAATACCTCTCAAAGGGCAGCATCCTGTTCTTCTGGTATTAATGCAGCAGTGGACAGGGAAGGGGCTCACTATGTAAGAAGCACAACAAATGAACTCTTGTCTATAACCTTGCGAGTTCCCAGGGTGTGGCTGAGAAGTTTTTTCATTCAAAGACACTCATTGGGTGTTCAAGGAACCCAACATTAGGTACAGGATCCCACTGAAATGCCCTTGCTGCTGATTTTCCTCTCATGCCTCCCCTCTCTACCCCCTGCCTCACCATCCTAGCCACCCAATGATCCTTAATCTCCAGCATCCTTTCCTGGTATCAATGACTTGTGTTTGGCTTCCTCCTCAGCCTGAGACCTAGGGTGAGTGTAGTACTCACAGTAGCCATGACCCCTCTGGTAGCTCTGCTGAGTACCGAAGAGTTGATGGCCTTTGACTAACAAGAATCAGCAGGTGAGAGGTGGGACTTTCACCCCCAGGGATCCCGAAAGATCGCCGTCATTGGCTTGTTAAGGGCTTGAACATAAAGACTGCGTGTTTCTCCCACCAGTGACTGAGACAACCACTACCATCACAGGATTCTACCCGTTGTCCTCTGAAGTGTCATTCACAATTTAGCACCAAACTACGGCCAATTTCCTCCTGAAGAATGTGGTACAGTGTGAAGTTCGTTCCAACAAGGATAACTTGTTCCACATATGGTCCCATAGCTCCCCATCCATGTTGGATTCCAATTAGGATCTCATTGTGAAAGCCCACTTGAGTGGAGCATAATCAGAGTGTGGATTACTGAGCTGAAAGCCCTGCTGTGTAAACATTTTATAATCCCTGTGAGATGAGAAGACTGGCCTCATCAGTGTATATCATAGGCTTCCACTGCATGAAAAACTTGTACAAAAGAGCACAACCACTAGTGCAAATAATTGGCAACAGCAAATCCAAAGAGGTAACAATTCCAAAGCTCTACCAGTTATGTTTTATGAGAGATGTTCAGTTTTTGTTTCTCAATTAACTTATTCGTAAATGTTTTGCTTGCATATCTTAAGTCATTCGTAAGAAGTGGCACCAAACATTTAAGATTATCTTCTTATGGGTAGAGCATAATGGAACAGAAGATTGAGCAAATTCTTTGTTTTGCTTAGCAATTAGATTCAGTTTGACTTGGACTTTGCTTCCTTTGCTTAATCTGATGAACCATGCTGGGTCACCGAGTTAGTACCCTATAACTCACATAGTAAACAGTCACAGGGAGTATCCAGCAATCAAAAGTAATGATCATGGGAGAGTCATGCTCCTAGAGGTGGAGCAAAGGAGGTAACCCATTCTGGAGAGGAAGACCATGATTCATGCCAAATCTGAGGTAGAAGGCCCTAGGATTGAAGTCATCCAGAGACTCGGTTGACTCCCAGCTCTCTTGTACCTGTAATCAAAAATGGGAGAAGTCTTCTAGCTTCAGGGAAAATGGTGCACCAAAATAATTGGTTGCAAGTTCCTTGTGAAGCAGAGTTTAGCAATATCACAGGAAAGATTTGAAGAAATGGAATGGTCCTTCAGCAAACAAAATGAATGCAGAAAGAAAAATGCAGTTATGTATTTAATCTTTTTTTTAAAAAAATGACAATCTTGTGATTAATTTCGAGAACTGAAAACTAGATTTAAAAATCCAATCTCAGCATGCCAGGGCGGCACTGTGGCTCAGTGGTTAGCACTGCTGCCTCACAGTGCCAAGGACTCGGTTTCAATTTCAGCCAACTGTCTGTGTGGAGTTACACATTCTCCCCATGTCTGTGTGGGTTTCCTCCAGGTGCTCCGGTTTCCTCCCACAGTCCAAAGATGTGCATGTTAGGTAGATTGGCCATGCTAAATTGCCCGTAGTGTTCAGGGACGTATAAGTTTGTTGGATTAGTAATGGGAAATACAAGGATGGGGGTGGGGGTTGGGAGAGTCTTTGGAAAGTCAGGATGGACTTGTAGGGATTCTATGATCAGTACATTGGTATCTTTCCCATTTTGTACGATGCGGCTAATATTGGTGGTACAGCTTGTCAGGAACAAGTGAATGGCAATGTTGTTTGAGTTTAGAAAGATCACTGCTGGCCAGCAGCAGAGATTTCCTTTGACATTGATTAGATGCACAACCAAATTCTTGATCCATACTCACTGACAGAGAGGCTCCACAACCCACTAAGTATTACAACAGTTCAAAAATATTACGATTCTCCAAATGAACTGTTAGAGCCCTTAGGTTTAAAGAGTTGCGCCACTCTACACTATACACTATAACAATATTAATACAGCAATTGGTAGTCAACCTGGGTCTATGGTAAATAATTAATTGTAAAAATCATGGTAATTGGTGTGGTCACTTTAAGAAACCTAGCAAAACATCTCTTACCACAAACACGTATCGATTTTAGAACTACCAGGATCATTGTAAAACTTACCCAAGAGAGTTAACTAATCATGCACAGCCTTTTGCTCACTCTGCAAGCTTGACGCTGAAACAAGGCACATCACAGCTATACTGTGGGATATTAGTTACTCCGATAAGATCATTTCTCACTGTACATTGTACAAAATTATAAAAGAGACTAAGGCCACCACCTGCATTCTTGAAAGGGGTCCAGCCTCCCTCAAGTTACCCTCAAGAAGGGTAAGTTGCCTCTACAAAAATGAGCAGAAGGTGAAGCTAGCCATTTCATGCAGAAGTTACGGTGCAGTAGCAAGATGAATGGTATTCTGAACCAACAGAAAGGTCCTGTCCAACCAAAAAATGTATTCTGTCTACGACATGAATCAGTAATACAGTGAATTATTTTCAATGACAATAGGATGCCAGGTATGAAGACTGTATGTTACAATGACTAGCAGAGCTTATCAAACTGCACATCCCCTCAGCTGTTCACAATAGGCCGTGTATTGATCATACTTAACCAACCTACTCTTGCAAAGCTCAATACATAATGTCTAACATTAAATTTGGTTCCATGAATAGACAATACTTGCTGAATAATGCCAAAAATACTAAGAATTTAATATTAATTTAAGATTAAATAAATTATGGCCTCACAATGATTTTATCTATTTAGGAGCTACAGGAAAAAGAAACATTCCAAGTTTGATGTTTATTTTTATGTATTAAACATGCAGGGGAATGAGGCCAAGATTTCCTAAATGCAATCCCCATGGAAACACCTTGACCAATGAGAGTTAATTTTTCAACTAATCAGCACCCTTTTCTCATACAGAATGAATTGTTGTTCCCTTTGAAATATGGCTTTCATATGTCTGTCCTGATGAGTACAAGGAAAAAGGTTTAAACAACGTCTGTTTTCAGCTCAAGTTCTGTACCACAAAAACAATGATTTAAAAATTACAGTCACAGAGATCTCAGAACCCAAATGTCTCTGGGACGGATTTAAATTTTCAAACAATCTGGTCTCCGCCAATTCGCATTTTCTGAAGTGCTTTAATGAGCTTGCTAAGGGGCCTGTGGGTTCGTAATTGCAATATTGAATCTTTCATTTGATGAATCTGAACAGTCTGGTGTATGTTACTACACTGCTGTTGGGTTCACTAACAACATTTTATTCTGCATTTATTTAAGGATGACCTTTGTTCTTTGCAACTCCAGCACTCTACAGTAATCCCATTTATTGTTGCCTCTTTCATCACTGCATGCTCTCCAGGCCCTCTAAGGAGTTCCATTCTGTAAGACACTGACACATCTCAAATTGGCTTACCCTGCTTTTGTCACTGTTGCCAGACAGGAAACTCCCACCTCCTGGAGATACTTGGCACCACTAATTGGGTACTTTGTTTGCCTCCTGGCCAGTTAGACCATGTGAATTTAACAATAACATCACAAGTACATTGCAGTTCAGGTGCAGCATTTTTCACCCAAGTGTCAGATTCCCAAAAGCACTTTGAAAATCTGGCCCATAATTTTTGGCTTACTCATGCAGTAACATTACCATTAAGAATGGTAGTCTGTGTGCTGAGTAGAAAAATGTATCTGTGTGGTTATTTTGGATTGCACCAAGTGCTGGTCCCCTGTTTATATGGGGATAACTAGCTAACTAATCTTTAATTTGCCTCAAGCATCAAATCATACTCAGCGATGAGTCATAAGCAGTTAGCATTTTGAACGTCAGGCAACTAAGGAAATGAGCTGAGATTACAATAGTTTACTTTTTTTATCTTCAAATGTATTATTACTAATGACAGAATATTTGCCTTTTCTTCTATTTTTACTTGAGATTTGTATTTAAAAAACACACTAAGCCAAATCCGACTAAATGCTCTTGACACTACATTCATGAAATATGAGTAAGATGGGATACCAGGACGTATAGTATGCTGCTATAGATATATTAAAGCTTTGAAGGAGAGTAATAAGTCTATCTCAAGGATCCTGTATGTTTTTTTTAACAGGGAGATTTACCTGCATTGAAGTGAAGTTCCTTTTGGAAAGACAGATGGGTTATTATTTAATCCAGATGTACATTCCAAGCCTGCTGATTGTCATTTTGTCCTGGGTGTCATTCTGGATTAACATGGATGCTGCTCCAGCGAGAGTAGCGCTGGGCATCACGACAGTGCTGACAATGACAACACAGAGTTCCGGCTCTCGAGCTTCACTTCCAAAGGTGAGAAGTTTCCATCAGTATATTATTGCATTGTTATTAATATATTACTAATCTATTAATAAATATTAGATTTGAATCAGGCTCGTCCTAGATAAGGAATTCTGATGCTTGTTTACTTCTCACCGATTTGCAACACTAAGTCAGCTCATTGAATAATTAATGCTACATCTGAATTCAATAGAAAATTATTTAGACAGAATGTAATTTTTACAAATGTTTTTTGGCTTTGTGATAATATTCTGGGGTATTATTTACTGGTGTTATGGTCTGAAACCTAATCAACATTTTGCTTAGCATGAGATATTTAAGTTAAATGCAACCTCAAAATGCTCCTGTTATGCCAATGGCAGGTACATGAATTGACCTAAGTGATATCACCTTCCAGGTTTTAACTTGAAAATTTTGAGGTAGATCAAGAGTGTTACTACTTGAATTTGATTTTTTGGATTCGATATCGTAAATGCTGTTACTTAAGTCAGATATTTTAATTAATTGGTGTCGGTTATTTGAATTAGATATGTTATTATTTGAAAATGACAAGTTGGATGGAATACTGATAAATTATATTAACAGATTTCATTTAAGAAAAGTTAGTCATCATGAGGAAAGTAAAACACAAAAAGCTGGAGATACTCCACAGGTCTTACAACATCTGTGGAGGGAGAGAAACAGAGTTAATGTTTCAAGTCTGATATGACCCTTCTTTGGAACGCGAAAACGAGGCACTGAAGGGAGATGATGGGCTACTAGTATTGCCGCTGGATATTAGTCTCGAGACCAAGAAAATATTCTGGGGACCCAGGTTTGAATAATACCATGGCAGATGGTAGTATTTGAAGTCAATTTGAAGTCTGGAACTAAGAGTCTATGATAACCATGAAACTATTGTTGATTGTCAGGAAAAATGCATCTGCTTCACTAATGCACTTTAGGGAAGGAAATCTGTCGTCCTTACCTGGTATGGCCTACATGTGACTCCAAAACCACCGCAAAGTGGTTGACTCTTAACTGCTTTCTGGGGTGGGCAATAAATGCTGTAAGTGAATATTTTTAAAAAAGGAGAAATTAATTGGTTGGATAAAATTATTGCCTTTGATTTAGTCCATTAATCCTTGTTCAGTTAGTTCAAATTTGCATTTCTAATTACAATGAAAGATTGCCACTTTCCATTATTTCTTAAGTTGAGCCACTCAAAACAGATACCATCAAGAGCAGAAGATGAACACAACCAAGGGTCAGTGGCTCAGTGGCACCAAACTTGGATTTCAACAGTGTGGAGATTGTGGAAGGAAGGTCTTGGATGAAAAGCATTTCAAGGTTCAGAAAGAGAATGTGAGCAATAGATTGTACAATAACCTTTGATTTCAGTATGGTCAGTATGCAAAGAAAATCTTTCTGGAGATGTATTCAGGAATGAGGGAAGATAATTCAAAGAAGAATTGACCACATTGATTTTCTTTTTGTTTCAATCTGGATTTTCCAAACAACATTGTACTTCATAACTTGTGTGACTAATAGATTGTTTTACAGCCATGACCAAGCACCAGTACTTTTAAGTGAGGGATTACATAAGTTACCTAGATCATTTATCAACAAAGCCAAAGGTAATTGAACCACACGAACCAGAGGACAGTTATTTCTGCTGAGTGAGCCAGCCACCACTGGGATAGTGCTGCTATTGGCCTCAGGTTAAGGGAGGGAACGATTAGGCAAGTTTCCTGTCTTTAATTCCTATTGGTGATCCTTGCAGCAAAGATCATGGATACAGACACTGGAAAAGGACAAGTTCAAGCCTAATAACAATGCTGTTTTTGGAATCTCTGCCAATGCTTGTTGCATCAATAAGGAAGGACATTTTGATGAAATCTTAATGGATGCTTGAAACTTCACTCCAAACTCCCTTCAAAAAAGGAGGCAAAAAACTGAGGGAAAATATTTTGTATCAAGTGAAGATTTAGGTAGGCACCACAATCTGATTCCTTTACATTGCATAAAATGGTAGACTTTTCAAAGGATATAATATTTATCCTACAGATACTAGTTAGCTATTTATAGAACAGGAAAATATTAGGAGATGAGAATAAAAAAATTGCAGCTAGCTCATTCAGATCATACTTGCATTCAAGATCTGTGGCAGAAATTACTCTAAGCAGATTATTTTAGGTTTTTTTTTACCAGAAACTCATGTTTCTTAGTGAATGCTGAATTTCTTGGAAATTTCATACTAAAACAAAGATGGCCCTAAATATTATGACAGAATTGTTCTATAACTTTTCATAGTTAAATGGCTGCTCCATTGGAGTCAAATGTCTCAAATCAACCTTAAAGTTGTACGTAAGGAATGAACCCAGTTTGGACTCAAAGCAATTTATTTTGCATGAGCATGCAACGTGGCCAACATTCAGTTTTCGTAAGAAAAGTCATAAAATATTGTCAGTTCGGAGCATGGATTTAGATAATCCTGATGAGAAACATGAAGCTGTGGACTACAAAAAGCTAAAAATTTAAAGTAATTAAATCCATAAAGTAGGATTATTACACTATGAAACATATATTACAACCAACAGGAGAAACGTAATTTTTATTTTTAACAAAATTACAATCCTGCAGTTATTATTATTCTAACTTCCATGTAAACAATATTCAGTAAATATTAAATGCATCAATCAAACACAGCTCAGGATTGTTTCTTAATTAAAGTCAGATCAACAATCTTGAATCCATTAACATACTGGCAAAACCTAATTTACAAATCCTAGACTTGCAATGAGCTGTCAATATTAATCTTGTTTTTTTTCACAGTTTTGAGACAGTATTGTTTTACTAATTATGGTAAATTGAATACAATAAGGTTTGAAACTTGCTTGAGGCATATGTTTCAATTGCACAACACTGATAAAGGTACTGCATTTTGCAGATTACCTACATGAAGACCTGTGTGGGGTACCAGGATTAATCTTCAACAAATGTATTCTAGATGACATTATTTATGGCTCCATTATGAAACAATTGATTTTAACATTAACCTCATCAGCACTGTATGAATCTTTATATTTTTCCTTCTGAAGATTTTCTGCTCATTATTGCCAGTTAGTTATAGCATATAACTTAGTATACCCAAATAGAGAAATTACAACAGAGTTACGATTTCCCGTTCAATCATTTCCCATCCCATAGCCATGGCATTTGCTGAGTGGGTAGCAAAACAATTTATCCTCAGACTTCCAATTAAGCCTCTTCTACAAGTATCTCAGAGTTGCTTTGTGTTTCATCTAATGACTCTTGCCAATTTTCCAATTGGTAAAACCTTAGCTTTGCTTGCTCATTTACCTAACAGTTAAACTGCTGTTCTTTTGGGCATATGGTAGAGGATAATTGCTTAATAAAACAGTACATTTTATATTTACCTTGAAGGGAAGTAACATTCCAATACAGCTTTACATTTGTATAAACGACAATGACTGGCATTTATCCGGCCCCTCTAATTTAACCAGGAGCTTTAAAGGAGTCTAGGCAAACAACAATTTGAAACCAACTATGTCAACAAGTTTTTTTTTACACAAGTATTGACTAGAATATGTAACAGTGCGTTCGGATTGCACTGTTTGAAACTTCGGTGTGCTTTGCTGCTGGTGGCAAATTTATGGTGCTGGACCACAAAAATGAATGCACATTGAACACCGAAAGCAGCATGATATAAAAAGAGCTAATGAAGTCCTGAATGGAGATGTGCAATTAAGCAGCCCATCAACCTACGAAAAGCCCATCCTCAACAAGGGAGGAGCCTAGCACATACCATCTTCAATCATGCAGAAGTACTGAGAAGGCCTTCTGACCTTCCCCGAAGCCCCACCATCGCTTGTTGCCAGTCTTTAACCAATTTGATTCTCACTCGCTATAAAATCAAATAATGTCTGATTGTACCTGACATAGAAACATAGAAACTAGAATTAGGATTTGGCCCTTTGAGCCTTGATGCCTTTAAAATCTAAAATTTATTCCCCCCTTCTTGAGTGTATTCAATGACTTGGCATCCACAGCCTTTTGCAGTAGAGAATTCCATAGGCTTACTGTCCTTTGAGTGAAGAAATGTTTTCTCATCTCATCCAAAATGGTCTACCTCATATCCTGAGATTGTATCCCTGATTCCAGACTCCCTAACAAGGGAAAGCATCCTTCCTGCATCTAAGCTGTCCAGCCCTGTTCGAATTTTATGTGTTTCAATCAGATCCCCTCTCATCCTCTTAAACAGGCTCAGTCAAATCAATCTCTCCCCATAAGATAGTCCTGCCTTGCCTATTACCAGTGTAGTGAATCACTGTTGCTGTCCCTCTGTGACATGTATATCATTTCTTAAGTAAGAGATCAAAACTGTACGCAATACTCTAGGTGCAGTCTTATCAAGGTCCTGTATAACTGCAATAAGAATGCTAATCCTCTTGTAATGAAGTGCAATATTCCATTTGCCTTTCTAATTGCTTGCTACTTAAGGCTACGAGTCATGGCAAGAACATGGCTATATTGTCCTGCCATTGTACACTCATTATCAGCAAAATGCTGAAAGGTGTCATCAACATTTTATCACACTCGTAACTGATGCTCAATTTTGGTTCTGCAAGGACTATTTGGCTCCAGACTTCATCACAACTTCACTTCAAACATAGACACAGGCTGAAACACAAGTAAAGAGAAAGTGACTGCTCTTGACATCATTAGAGGCCTGAGGGAAAGCTGTCACCCACTCAACAAGTGAAATGCCACGGCTATTGGGAATGGATAGGACAGGAAATCTCTATTAAAAACTGGATTGGGGAAAACTGTCCACAAGCTTGGATGGGTACAGTTGCAATATTCAAGGGATTCCATATCAACGAACACTTCATTCTGCTCCCTAAGCAGCCACCTCACCACTAGCATACTGTGACTGAAGTGTGTTTGCTCTATGTTAACTTGCCAAGATTTCCTTAGCAGCATCTCTTAAATTCATTACTTCAAAATAC